CTTCAGCCTAGTCCAGCCCAGGCCATTGCAGCCATCTGGGGAATGAACAAGTGGATGAAAGATCTTTCTCCCTCCCTCTCACTCTCTATCTGTAATGCTCTCAAATTAAATAAATAAATTTTCTTTAAAAATAGACTAGTATTAACCTTCAAGAAATCTGTTATATAGAAAGATAAATAGCTTATTACAGTCCTGTATAATATTTATTTTCATAAAGCAAGATGCCAATTTTTTGAAAGATGAACTTAGAAAGATATCTGAACTTGAACACTGTTCTTGTTACTTAACAGCTGTGTAGGCACCAGGAAGTCTATATCAAAAAGTTTTTAAAGGATTACTTAGAGAAAAAACATATGAAGAATTGATGTTGGTGTAGGTATTTGGCCTTGTGATTAACACGTTAAGAAACTCACTTCCCACATCAGAGTTCCTGGATTTGATCTCAAGCTCTGCCTCCTGACTCCATCTTCCTATCAAATAGAAGAACAGGTATAAATTTGATAAAAGAGGAGAGAAAAAGGGGTGAAGATTATAATGGTTGTCATACAAAAGGGTAGCAAATATAAAGGCACACACACACACACATACACACATAAATGATAGTTTGGAGACTGCTAGCAGGTCTGTGTGACGGTGGAAGAGGTTGGAGACCATACCATGTGAGAAATTTGTATCCATAGTAACTATTGGTGCTGCCTTGGTTAGGCCTAAGTTACACCTCCTGTCCCAAGTAATCAGAAGTAGTGCACAAATTACCACTCTTAAATTTCAATGACAAATCACAGGGTTACCCACTTACATTTCAGGTTGAGAAATTTTGATCTAAGATGAAAGACATGAAGAATTCTGAATTAGAGTCCCTAAGGAACATTAACCTAAGGAATGACATGCCCATTCTTGATCTTAAAGGCACTATTTAGAGAATGATGTCAGCAATGGAGGAGGATAGGTTAGTACAGGCAAACTGAAGGCAGGTGGAATATGGAAGAAAGGGCAGTACAGGGTTGTACTTTCACTGACACGATCAATTACAATCATAGCATTTCACCTGCTTCTCACTCTGTAGTAAATACTGTTCTCAATATTTGTGTATATTGTCTCATTTAAATCTCCTCTGACCATCACAAGATGAATATTATTATTATAATGCCTTCTTACATATAAGGAAATTGAAACATGAATAAGTTAAATTACTCACTAAAAATTAGGAGGCTCTAAATTCAAAGAGAATCTCTTACCAGATTCCATATTTGTAATCAATAAATCACTCTGCAATATATAGGATTTCTTTTTTTTTTTTTTAAACTTTTATTTAATGCATATAATTTTCCAAAGTACGACTTATGGATTACAATGGCTTCCCCCCCATACCGTCCCTCCCACCCACAACCCTCCCCTTTCCCACTCCCTCTCCCCTTCCATTCACATCATGATTCATTTTCGATTATCTTAATATACAGAAGATCAGCTTAGTATACATTAAGTATGGATTTCAACAGTTTGCTCCCACACAGAAACATAAAGTGAAAAATAATAGATGATTTTTTTAAATGATGATGAAATCAGAGCAGGCCTATTGTCATGTTTAATCCCAGTGAGAGTCAAGTTGGGGATTGATAATTTCTATCTTTTTTTGTTTTTTTACAGAGGATCAGTTTAGTATGCATTAAGTAAAGATTTCAACAGTTTGCACCCCCATAGAAACACAAAGTGAAATATATTGTTTGAGTACTCGTTATAGCATTAAATCTCAATGTACAGCACATTAAGGACAGAGA